TGCTCTAATCTTTATTATGTCCCTCCTTCTACTGACTTTGGGCCTCATCTGTTCTTCTTTTTCTAGTTTCATTAATTGTGAGTATAGACTGCTTATATGGGATTTTTCTTCTTTCCTGAGATAAGCCTTTTTGTAATATATTTCCCTCTTAGCACAGCTTTTGCTGTGTCCCAGAGATTGTGTGGTATTTAATTATTGTTGTCATTTGTCTCCACATATTGCTTGATCTCTGTTTTAATTTGGTGAAATATCCACTGATTATTTGGAGCATGTTGTTAAGCCTCCATGTGTTTGTGGGTTTTTTTGTTTTCTTTGCACAATTTATTTCTAGTTTCATACCTTTGTGGTCTGAGAAGTTGGTTGGTACAGTTTCAACCTTTTTGAATTTATTGAGGCTCTTTTTGTGGCCTAGTATATGATCTATTCTTCAAAATGTTCCATGTGCACTTGAGAAATGTGTATCCTGCTGCTTTTGAGTGGAGAGTTCTGTAGATGTCTGTTAGGTCCATCTGTTCTAGTGTGTTGTTCAGTGCCTCCGTCTCCTTACTTATTTTCTGTCTGGTTGATCTGTTCTTTGGAGTGAGTGGTATGTTCAAGTGTCCTATAATGAATGCATTGCATTCTATATCCTCCTTTCATTCTTTTAGTATTTGTTTCACATATGTAGGTGCTCCTATGTTGGGTGCATAAGTATTTATAATGATTATGTCCTCTTGTTTGACTGAGCCCTTTATCATTATGTAATGTCCTTCTTTGTCTCTTGTTACTTTCTTTGTTTTGAAGTCTATTTTGTCTGACACAAGTACTGCAGCACCTGCTTTTTTCTCCCTATTAGTTGTATGAAATATCTTTTTCCATCCCTTCACTTTTAGTCTGTGTATGTCTTTGGGTTTGAAGTGAGGCTCTTGTAGGTGACATATAGATAGGTCTTGTTTTTTTAATTAATTCAGTGACTCTTTGTTTTTATTGGTGCTTTCAGACCATTTACATTTAGGGTGAATATCAATAGGTATATACTTATTGCCATTGCAGGCTTTAGATTCATGGTTACCAAAGTTCAAGGGTAAGTTCCTTACTATCTAACAGTCTAACTTAACTCCCTTAGTATGCTATTAGAAATGCAATCTAAAGGTTCTTTTCCTTCCCCTCCTTTTTCTTCCTCCTCCATTCTTTATATATTAGGTATCATATTCTGTACTCTTTTTCTATCCATTGACTGAATTTAGGGGTAGTTGATTTGATTTTGCATTTGCTTAGTAATTAATTGTTCTACTTTCTTTACTGTGGTTTCATTTTCTCTGGTGACAGCTATTTAGCCTTAGGAACACTTCCATGTATAGCAGTCCCTCCAAAATAACACTCTAGAGGTGGTTTGTGGGAGGTAAATTCTCTCAGCTTTTGCTTATCTGGAAATTGTTTAATCCCTCCTTCAAATTTAAATGATAACCTTGCCAGTGTACAGTATTCTTGGTTTGGGGCCCTTCTGCTTCATTGCATTAGTATATCATGCCACTCCCTTCTGGCCTGTAAGGTTTCTGTTGAGAAGTGTGATGATATCCTGATAGTTTTTCCTTTGCATGTGATTTTTTTCTCTCTCTGGCTGCTTTTAATTCTCTGTCCTTATCCTTGATCTTTGCCATTTTAATTATTATATGTCTTGGCGTTGTCTTCTTTGGGTCCCTTGTGTTGGGAGATCTCTACCTCCATGGCTTGAGAGACTATCTCCTTCCCCAGCTTGGGGAAGTTTTCAGCAATTACCTCCTCAAAGGCACTTTCTATTCCTTTTTGTCTTATTCTGGTACCCCTATAATGCAAATAGTGTTCTGTTTGGATTGGTCACATAGTTCTCTCAATATTCTTTCATTCTTAGACATCCTTTTTTCCCTCTGTGCCTCAGCTTCTTTGTATTTCTCATCTCTTATTTCTATTCCATTTACCGTCTCTTCTACTACATCTAATCTGTTTTTAAATCCCTCCATTGTATGTTTCATTTCTGATATGGAATTTCTTAATGATTGAATCTCCATCCTAAGTTTGTCCCTGAGTTCTTAAATATTTTTCTGTAGCTTCATGAGCATGTTTATGATTTTTATTTTGAAATCTCTTTCAGGAAGATAGATGAGTTCAGTTTCACTTGGCCCTCTTTCTGGTGTTTGTGGGATTTTGGTTTGAACCAGGTTCCTTTGACATTTTGTATTTGTAGGTGGCACCCTCTTGTGCCTAGAAGCCCTAGTCTCTGGAGCTGCTCAGCCCCCTGGAGCGATAGTGGGGGTTGCAAGTGAGCAGTACTCGTGCCTGTCAGGAGGAAAAAGCTCTTTCCTGCTTCCAGGCTGCAGTGCCTGTCTCCACTGCCAGGGCCAGTGGGCTGAGCATGCAGGGAGAAGCCTCTCTGCTTTGCAATTGTAGCTCCCATGGGTGGGGCCGCCCTCTAGGTGGCCTAGCACAATGGTGGAGGCCGCCAGTTTGTGAGTTGTTGCCAGCTGGGAGGAAGGCTCAGCAGGCTGCGTATCATGATGGGGAGCCTTGTATCTGCGTAACCAGCCAGGGGGATGGAGTGCCTGAAGCTCCTGAAAGTTCCCAACCAGCTGGGCAGAGTGCACCTGGACAATTTTGTCCACCTGTCCTTTCTCTTGAGCAGCAAGGTCTATACAATCCTTGCCCCTTTAGCAGCCTTCTTGTTGTTAGGAAGTCTCTGAGTGCCCACTTTTCTTTTGTCCCAGAGCGACCTGTTATGGATATGTGTTTTCCACAAGTGCCTGGAATCTCAGTCTCTCTGAGTATTCTGCCTGTCTTAGTTTTCCAACGCCACTAATTTCCAGAGCATGTAATGTAGGTTCGTGCTCCCGGAGCAGATCTCCAGGGCTGGGTGTTCAGCAGTCCTAGGCCTCCACCCCCTCCCCAGTCTGTTTCTCTTCCTCCCGCTGGTAAACTGGGGTGGGGGAAGGGCTTGGTTGCCTCTGGATCACGGCTTTGGTACTTTACCCTTTTCCTTGAGGTCTGCTCTTTTCCCCAGGTGTAGGCAGTCTGCCACAGCCTTCTTTCCTGTTGCTCAGTCGGGATTAGATGTGTTTGCTGTATTTCCATATCATATGTGGTTTTGGGAGGAGGTTTCTGCCTCACCTCTCACGCCGCCATCTTTAAGGCTCCTCATGGTAGCTTTGTTCTTAATTGCTAAGACTTGGGAGCAGCTCAGATGCCTAGATAAACTGGGGTCCATCCAGACATGGAGTATTGATCAGGGCCCAAAAGAAAGGAGCCACCGAGCCACAAACAAACAGACACAGAGGGAACAAACACACATCACTGAGTGCAGGAAGCCAATCTGAAAAGGCTGCATGCTGTGCAACTCCAGCTCCGTGGCCTTCTAGAAAAGAAGACCGTGGACACAGTATGAAGGTCAGTGCTGCTAGGGGGTGGGTGAGGGTTGGATTGGCTGAGGACGGGGGAGTTGTTCGGGCAGCAAAAGGACTCTGTCTAGTGCCAGAAGGTTTGCCCAATGCCAGGAGTGAAGCCTGAGGTAAACCGTGGCCTCTGGGTGGTGATGACATGTCGTGTGGGTTCATCAGTTGTGACACAGGTACCCCTCTGGTGGGGATGTTGATAGCGGGGAGGCTGCCTGTGTGTGGGGCACAGGCCATTTGGGAAATCTCCATACCTCCTCAGTTTTGCCGTGAACCTAAAACTGCTCAAAAAAAGGAAAGTCTGTGATAAATTTCAGCATTCATTAAAAAAAAAAAAAAAGGAAAAAGCTTACAGGCAGATTTTTGAAGGTTCGTTTTTTTTTGCTTGGCCTGAATACAAGTTTTCTTAGCGCTTACCCTGTCCTTTGGCCTGCCGTGGCTGGGCAGTGTAACCATGTGGGACAGCTGCCTGCTGTGGGAATCATCTCACTTCTTCTCGTATGTTAATCCCACACAAGTTTGCCAAGGTCCTGCTAGGTGCCAGTCATCTTCAGGACCGAGGGGTGGAGGAAGGATGCAGGCCCTGGAGGGCAAGGCTCCTGCTGTGGCCTTAGGAAAGGCTGAGGGGGTCCAAAGGGCCTCTGGCGCTGAGTGGAGAGTGGCTTCCATAGAGTCGGGTGGGTCCCAAAGAGCTTTCTGGAGGAGGTAGCCATGTGCTGGCTTTGGGCCTTCCTCATGTGGACAGTGTCACCCCATGGGGACGCAGAGGCAGGGACAGGAGCGTGTTGGCATCTTTGCTGCAGAAGCCCAATGCCTGCCCCCCACTCCCTGGGTGCTCCTGGTGGCTTCACGTCACTGGGATGGTGTGGCCTGCTCAGCAGCTGATCAGATCGTCTGTGATGCTAAGTGTTTGAGAACAATGGCTCTGCTTCAGATCCACAGCCTGCCGGGAGGAGGGCACAGCTGTGGGCTAGTCACACCTACTCACATTTTGGTTAATCACGATCAATGGAAGGTCCATGGCTACACTCCACGGGCTCTGGGCTCCTCAGTGCTGTCTCCTGGCACAGAGCTGCCCCCATTTGCCCTTTGGTGGGCGACGTGGATGGCAACTTATTCAGAGTTGCCTGATAGTGGGTTTCCTTGTTCACTTGACTTTCCCTTCTCGGCTGTCTTTGATCTGCCACCAGGTGTGCGTGGTCCACAAATCTAAGCGTACTGCTGGTGTGACTGCACAGGTGAAGCCCCTTTTGGTGGAGCCCCTCAGACTCCTCACAAGCACAGAGAAGCCCAAGTCCCTGGATTGTGACCCAGAGTGGGGGGATTAGACTGAGGAGTTCAAGATGAAAGGAAATGGAGTCTGCAAGCCAGTGTGCAGCAAACTGAACCGACGACGCAGGACTCCAAGTTCCCCCTCAAGGCCCTGGGTAGACTCCTGACTCATGTATCCTTGAGATGTTTTACAAGAACTTAGACCCTCCCCTGCCCAGATGGACCACCTCCAGACAACCCATACCCCAGACGGGGCGGAGCCAGAAGACTGACAGCTCAGGTTCCTGAACAGCTTCCTGTCACTGTACCACCGACCACCCAGAATAATGTGCATGAGCTAATCACACGCTCTGAGATCCTTTCCCAGGATTTTGCCTTTGAAAACCCTGTAAGCCAGCAGTGCATCTGGGGCCTTGGGCACTAGCCACACATCTCTCCTGGCTCCCTGCAATCAACGCCACTTTCTTTCACTACATTCCCTTTGGTGGGAGTGCCTCACCCCCAAAGCGTTTGGCTTCGCTGAGCATCAGGCAAGTGGACCCCATTTTGTTTGCTTTGGTAGCACTGTTCTTATTGACAGCAACTCAAAATCATTTTG